ATGTATGTTTTCTACATTATAAGATATAATGATTATGCACAACTAGAACCTAGCTCTCGAATTCGAAAAAACTGCTAAATGTACTTCTTGGTTGTCTGGTAGTAGAAATTATAGGTTCTTTTTCATTTTTGTTAACCTTTWAAGTTTGAACACATTATACAGAAATAGTCAAATGGATTTTAAGATTAATATTCGCTTATACGTTGATGTACCTAACATTTATATTTGAATGCTATATATTTTTGTTTGACCATCAACGAAATATTTTATAGTTGCCATTAAATTTATTTAACCTTGTAATATTAATTTATGTGACATTTTTGTAATTGCTACATTGTTATTGCCTCTGAATTATAAGGTATAATAATTTATTATATTATTATGTAGGTATTCATTAGAATATAAATATATTTACTTAATAATTTTTGTTTCACAGGTGAATCCATAGGTAGTCTACTGGGCGGATATTTATTCGATAATTATGGTGGAGTGTGGTCGTTTCGATTTTTCTCCTATATGTCTCTTTTGATGTGCTTTATAAACATATTAGCTAATTATTTTGGATTGACAAGTGAATCTACTACTTTAAAAGACAACAAAGAATCGAAAAATGTGGATCTCAAAACTACCAATAATAATACTGATAAAAAAACATGATATTTTATTTATAAAAASCTATTTAACATATTTTATAAAAATGTCATATTTAATTATAATTAGTTAAATATTATATTCATTTAGTTTTTAAACGARCGGAGTTGTGTGACACACGGTTATACATCGAAAAATATTGGTCTACTATCCACCACTCATCTAAATTTGAATAATTATAAATTATAAGTTACAAATATGTATTTAATTTAATAATTTATAACTRTGCGTTGAAAATTCGATTTTCATACATCAAAACATAAGAAAAATATTTCTGAAATAATTTCTCTGCCTAGCAATATTGAGTAAATAATATCATCCATAAAAAGAAATAACCTTAATCATCTCAAAAATTTTGACGATAAAAGATTGTAAAAAAAACATAAATATTAAAACTGTATATAACTTATATCGAGGTAGATAGGTAACTGAAGCCTGGGCAAATTAATGATAATTTTTAACTGAGTTATCAATAATAATTGTATTATATTTATTATTTAATTATTTATAAATTAACTTAAATTGAATTTGACTGAAAGTAACTCGTTAGGTATTTATTAAGTTTAGATCAATCAAAATAAGTTAAGTTAGAAATTAAGTTAATGAAAAGTAAATTTAAAAAAGTTAAATTAAGTTGAAATTAACTTAATTATCAACTTAACTTTAACTTTTTAACTCGTTTATGCCCAGGCTTGGCTACCGTACCTCTACATATCTGATTTCTGTATTAATAACCGAAAGTAATGTTTAGATTTYACTCAAGATTTGGCACWGTATCTCAGACACGTGTACTATACGAGGCACATGCATATATAAGTACCAAAAATACAAATTGACTACAATTGTACCTGTATAGTGTCATTTTTTGTGAGTAAGTTGTTTGCTTTAGATTAAACTTATACGAGTTACATTTTAAAATTACATATTTTATTTATATAACTGTTGTCGTTTTGTATCGGTAATATGATATATATCGCAGTACATTGAACTTTTGGAACAAATTCACAAAATTCTCGTCAAACACCATTAGGTACATTATAATATAAATCTGGGGTCACCAATCTTTTACAACAATAACATTAAAATTTTAAGTATTCATTCAACACTCAATAAGATTTCATAAACAAGCACTCATCACTCCATCAAATCCACAGAATAATCGATAATTCACCACAATGACTTGAAAATAAGCTATAATCCACAGGAGTGTTTATTGACGTAGCTCAATCGTTTGACCATGCCTAGCACAAAGGTCTCTTTTATAAAATTCGTTCTCTACTCGCCCTCTTATTTCTAATAGTAAAATCTTTTTTGTCAAATCGGTGCTTTGCTGTTCGTTGTGAGGATGAACTCTCACAAATCCACTACATCAAATCAGACGTACCCCAGGGAAGTATTTTAGATTCCACTCTTTACAACATAATTACATCTGACATTCCACGCTCTAACAATATCATTCTTACTACCTTCGCCGATGACACAATCATAATTTCTAATATATTTATAAAACTCCACAAAATTAAGCACCTTCTTAAATAAAATTTCCCWCTCAACACCCAACTCCTAATATATAAACAAATTATCCAGTCTACATATTGACCTAAAGAATACAACTATGGGGAACGGCCAAAAAACATTAAAATACTTCAATTGTTTCAATCGATTTACCTTCACCTCATTACTAATGGACGCTGGTACATCAGAAACCTCACCCTTCACATAGACCTCAAAATCCAAAATATTCACACGCTTTTTTCATACTACTATACATTATTTCATAAAACAGATATAAACATTCTTATTCTCTAATATCAAACCTCTCTCACACCCCCGGATAATTCACCACGTCTTCTCAAGTGAAATTTGCCTAGAGATCTAATATTTTTTTTACCAGGTTTGTTTTTATAAATTATTTTTATAGAATCTATCGTTACAGAATAAACTACATGGTAATCAGCTTACAACTATAATTAAGGTTAAAATTATTATGTACTTACATAGATAGATATTTGCAATGGATTAAAATTATATATATTTTTTATTTTTATTTTTATTTGAAAAAGAAATTATTATTTTTTTTATGTTAGTAGGTATTACATTAATATATGTATATAAGTATATATTGAAATACTAGGTAGGTCATATCAATTTTAAGCATTGGTAAGGCGTATGATTTACCTATAAAACAGTAAATAACTAGTTAAATAAAAATTATAAATAAAATATAATATGTAATATTATCTAATAGAAATGTAATTCAATTAAAAAAATACTTAACTATATTTAATACATTACATTTTYTTGTGTCTACAAAACAAATGATAGATTAATATTAGTGAACATTTTTATGAAACATAAACTTTTATTATATCTTCCAAAAAATGTAAAATAAATCATTCCAATTCTTAATTGAGCGGTACCAACATTCAATTAAATGGCGTGATAATAGATTTTCATTAGTCCTATGCATTTTTCTTAATATTTAAAATTTTAATATTGATCATAGACAATCTATTTTTTGCGTGTTAGCTTCATTTACAGGATTCAAAGAATTTTTCAAAATTTATTTCTCTAATCGGTTTTTTAATTAACGTTATCGACGTTGACGTACATAGTCATCGTGAATTTAGTCATGAAAAGCATTGTATATATTATGTGCTATATATCAAGGCAAACCTAATAGATCACGTGCTTTACCAATGCCCATTTTTATTTTTATTATTTATTATCTCTTTTGCAATATAGTTATCCTTATCGTAGTAAATAAATACATATTATTATATAAGATATCAATATATATATATATATATATATACAGGTTTATTAGATCGCAAAAACAGTTATCTGTTACTTTTTGTTGTCAGTAAATTAATGATTTAACATAAAAAAGTTAGTAAAATAGATAGTGGTCTGCTGTACAGTCTGGAATACACAGAATCAATAATTTTGTAAGTAATTAAAAAGTGGGTGAGTGGGAAAATTTCAACTGTCTATAAATAGCTGAAAAGTCAAAATATTTTGAAACTTTAATCGTAAATAGATAACGCTAATATAAACATTTTGTAAAAATCTCAAGTATTTGCAATAATTCGTTTTTGAGTTGTAGCAAAATAAAAAAAAATCGATTTTTTTCGAACACTGATTATGCGTAAAAATTCCCGTTTTTTTCGTTACTTTTTTAGTGGTTTTCTTTACGCTTTTAAAAAATACTGTAAACTCACCAAAGTACCAAATAGATGAATTTTCCATTTCAATAAGGGGCTGAAGTCAAAAATCAGAGCATTATTTCTACTACAAAACCTGATGACAGAAAAAAACATACACCATTATAAAATCAATATATTCCTCATTTCATTCAGAATCTAAAATAAAAAATATCTCAAAGCTATAAATAGCGTTACTTCCCAGTTATCTTTTATTTTWGTTAAAGGCTTAAAAACTACTTGGAATTTTCAATTTAGACCACACAAATGCACCCACTAGATTCCTATTAGAAAATAAGATGCTGATAAGAAAAATCAGATCATTTTTACTACCCCGAAAGTTACAGATGACGGTAAAAATAAAAAACACACATAATTGCAACATAAACTCATATTTCATTTACTAAGCTCAGAATCCAAAAATATTAAATAGTATATTATTGTTTATTATTTAAATTGTATTATTGTTATTATTATTCGCATAATATTGAGTAGTAGGTATGTGCCTAGTCCATATGTTATTTATTTATGATTTATAAACATTTATGCGAACAAATTCATTCAAATAATTAAACGACTTAAAGTGTTTTAGAGTTTACATACATACTTACACATAATATATTATATACTGATAAATTTAATATCTTATTTATATTTTTATATAAATGTAAAATATTAAAATTTAAATACTCACAAATCACCATAAAATGTTAATATTTTAACATCCATAAATGCTTTAGAGTTGATATTTTATACATTATAATAGTCTTACCTTGAAGGTTGATAACAGGTCATTGAATCTGATACTAAAAATTTTAGTAACACAAATTTGCAATGTTGAACATAATATATTGTACTCGTAATGCGTAGATAAGAAAACGGATTCAGCGTTAACTCAATTAATTGTAAGTTAATAATAGTATATTTTTAATTTTGACTTTGGTGACTAAAATAGTCAACTGGCTGAAAACAACTGTTACATAAAGGACTAGGAATCCAGTAATAAGGTACACTGGCCGAGAAGAAAATGATACATTTTTTTGACTAAAAAGGGTTGTACCTGGAGACACAAGACATTTCTTATTGAGTTTTTAATTTTTTTATAAGTGAACCGAGCCCACACAATTTAAAATAATGCGGAAATTTTTCAGTAGAAACTGCATATTTAAATATCGACAGTAGGTAATAATATTATTATTTTATATTAAACAATATTAGATTGGTGTACGTGGTGTTAGACCTGCTTGAGTTACGTGCTAAACAATGCAAGTATAATAAATATTATGTATTTCATGCGTTTTTCGATAGTATTACCTCAATAAAAAAATGAATATTATGAGTTTTCTTTGGTAAGAACCTATTTATTTTTTTGAAAAATATATTGTATGATTTATGTAATGAATACCACTTAAAATAATGTAATTGAATAGCACGTGTAAATGTGTAATGCTTTATTTTTAAGAAACGAGAAGGTGTTAAGTATCACAAAAAATAATACATGCAACAGAAACATCATCAAAATTATTTAAAAATGTGTTTATTGTATGATATTATTAACATCTAAGTTGTTAAGACCGCGAAATGATGCAGTAGCAWGTTTTTTTTATATAATGCTTGATTACTGGTTAGAACTATAATAATTGAATAAACCGACTTGTACCAMATTAATTATCATGATCATTGCATAAAAACTGTAGAATTGCATAACGTGAAACCATTAAATTCGCAGCTCTGGTTATCATCTTAAACTTTTTTTTTCAGAAAATAATAATAATAATTTTATGATTATTTAGTCTATTACCGTTTGGCATTTCATATCACATGTTTTCAGTATAACATTATTATGTGTATAGGTAAATAAATAGGCATCCACCACAGACATAAGTGATG